TCACGGCACATGTGAGTCCAACAACCAATGAATAGCACTAGCATATAGCGCCGCACCGCAAGTAGTACACTGAGTCGGGGTGCGTTCACAGACGGTGGAAACCGTAGGAATTTTTAGTTTTCGGCGGAAACAGTGCGGAGAATACAGGAGGGAGGAACTTTCTCTCGTTGCGTTTCAAAAGAGAAAACAGATTTCACTCAGTTTTAAATGGAAAACAAATTGTCTGCCGTTCATGACACATAATATGAACTAATTCACGTTCAAGTTATTTATAAAAAAATGTGTTCAACGTTTCACGAAAAAATGAGCGTGTTCAATGAACGCGTTCTTTTGAACTCGTTCACGCACAACACTGCCTTTGGCCTGGGCCTTGCTCATTGGACCAGGCCACCAGGCAGGGTAGGAGTTTGCAAAGACCGTGAGGATGAAATTAAATTAAAAGAAAGAAGAAAAAAAATAAAAGAAAAAAAGACCGTGATGATAGGGCAGGCCCAGGCCACTTTGACACGCAGGCCACCGGGAGATCTCCCGATGCTCCCGATGGCCAGTCCGGGCCTGTAATCGTCTAAATACCAACATTCTCAAAACATATATCTTAATTTAGATATGACCAATTTCTAATCATTCAATATTTCAACTAGAACATGCACTATTCGTAAGCACTGGTAAAACCAGCTCCAGCTGGACCAGGTACATTCCGATCAAAATGACAGAGATAAACGATTTTCAGATATGGCAATAGTGTGGTCGAGTTGGATTTTGGTTCTAATTTCATTATCACAGCCGTGATTTACGAGAGCAGCCGTTTTGTCCCATTATCCAGACTTCTGACTCCGTTCTTATGAAGAGCCCCTGACCCTGCTGCCCTCTCAGTATCTCAGTGGGATCACTCCCCTGTCCCGGCCTGGCACCGGAGAGAGGCTCATGCTCCACTTATGAAGTGTCTGATGAGGACATGACGGCTTCAGATCAACACTGACGGATGACAACAGCAGAGCTGGCTTTCAGATGACATCACAACATCAGCTCTGGCTGAGAAAGGCATGAAATTAACTTAAAGGTCAGGTTCACTATGCTCAACACATCTGTTTCAAAATATGTAAACTGATGTAACTACAACACATATTCACTTGGTTTCACATCCTTTAAAACATCACCTCAAATGACCCAGAAGTGGTGAAAATTAAATGAACCAGACCAACAAGTGTGAGCGACCAATTCGGGTTCATTTTAGTCAAAATACATGTGCCCTGGTCCTGTCGTCACATAAACGCCAATAAAGGTCTTTGGAAACAGCTGTTATAGTCCAGTTTAAGTGACTTCTGGATCAATTGGGACTGACTTTGAATGTGGCCTAAGATTTTAACTATGGATCCTGTGCATACATATGAGTCCTTAATAAAGTCTAATTATGAACAAATAAATAAAAGCAAACAAGGAACATCCAGATCATGTTGGCGTTGACTTCTGTACACAAGGCACACACATGGACACATGGACACACACACAGGCTGTCCTCGGGCAGTCTCCCATGGGTGGGCCGTCTGCCAGTGTCCAAACTTAATTTTATTACCGCCGGCCGAGGGGCATGACTGACAAATATAAACTCATTGTCAAGGACTGAGAGAAAGTGTGCTTTGTGCTTCTGGATTTGACATTTGCAACTTCCTTCCTCCATCTACGCCATGTATCTGCACCAACAAACACATGTCAGCGACAGATAAGCATTCAGCACTAAACGATTTACACCAGAGTTTCAGACAGGAAACTTGGCTCAACAAAGTGAGAATCAAAATAACTATTGATCTGCTTTATGATGAAGTAGTATTTGCAAATTTAGTAAACACATATACAAAAAACTATTAATAAAAACAGCAGAAAATGCATTGCTAAAAGAGCCCTGAAGTTCATTCAACTTAACACAATCATCTCAAACTAAGCTTGACCACTAACTCGTCAAATACATTCATATTTATTTCACTCCTAAGTCTTTCCTGGCACGATTCTCCGAAGTTTGTGTTGACATGGGGAACTCATGCAACCTCTGCCTGACCTCACCCCCAAATTCTTCCACTCCCCCTCCTCCTCATATCTGTCAACTCTAGGGCCTGATGATGAGCTGTAACACGGCAGAGATAACCAGATTTTATTGCTTCTCTGCTGTGATATGCGTTTTGATCAGACAACTTCTGGAAGAGTGTGAAAGCTGGAGCGCCCACAGCTGTAGATAAGGATAGAATGAATCTGTAGAAATGGTTTGAGAACATGAGAAATGCAAGCTACTTTGTCAGAACTGAAATCCATTTTAATGTCGGACTTACTTGGCCTTATTGGGCTGTAAGGGGAATTGCTTACAGTAGCTGACATCATAAAAGCTGCTGAATATGATCATAGAATACATCCTGTTATGTATTAAAGCTGGGGTACCTAACTTTCAAACCGCCCAAGAAAATTTATCTCAAAAATTAATTCATCTCAAAAATATTTATTTTCTTAAACTAGTTAGTGACATGCAAAAAGCCCAAGTTGACTCAAAGGGCTTTTTCTTACACGTATGACAACCACATTTTTTGTTTTTTTGTTTTTTATATATGTGTAGAAACTTTAACTCTTTCTGCTCAGACAAACAACATGTATTATTGAAAAACAAGTTAGGTACCTCAGTTTTAACTATTATTTCTTTGTATTTGCCATTATGAATGTACTGTGTGATTGATGGTGGTTGAAAGGGACAATGGCACAACTTGAGGGCAGCTCAGAATCAGAATCATTTTTATTGCCACGTAACTTAAGTAACAGGAAGTCACAGACTTGGAAATTACTTTGGCTCAGTGCAACAGTCAAAGAAGAGAGGTAAAGAATAGAGAATAGAGTAAGGCATCATAAGAATAAGAGCTGTGGCCACAATAGTTACCATCACCATTGAAGAGGATATAACTTGAAAAATGCATTATAAAAAATCAGATTCAATATATATATAATGTAATATCATGGTATTGAATCAATATGCTTAACAATTCTGTCAGGCATGAAATGTTCTGAAATCTGTAGAATGTTCCAATCCCACAGTAGAGCATTGTACTGTATCATCTCCAGCCTTAGAGCCTCAGATTAGTCATGAGTACGAGGACGTGCGCATCATATTTAATAAGATGAAAAGAGCACCGCGAGACATTATAATCTCTGCAGGATGACATCAGCTTTGGAGGAAGTGATGAGAGTGAGAAAATGGGGTCTTCGGACGCCCTAAATCATAGTGACGCTGCCTGAGGTTTTTTGTTTTTTTTTTTTTAAGAGACCGTAAGAGGGGCTCTATCAGTCTGCAGTCCAGGGAAAGTGTGTGGGGAGACAGGGGGAAACGGGAGCTGGCGGCCTACTCGGCACAATTCCCAAAGCTGGCTGGTCCAAGAACGGCCTGAGTCGAGGAATAGCAGACATGGACTCAGCCAGGAAATCTTTTAGCATGTCTGCAACCTGAAGGCTACTATTGTTTTTACTACATGACCTACAAGAAAATGTGGAAAACTACAGAACAATCATGTGCATTGGACATTGGAAAGTGCATTATCAAAGCCGTAGTCTCTCCATTGTGAATTTTCATTGTGAGGCAACTTAAAACAGGGATATGAGCATGCATGACCAAGACACTTAAGCAACACTAACTTGCAACATTCAATAAAAAAAATTGATTTAATAGCCCTAAATCACAACTGCAGTCGTCTCAGAGGACTTTACAAAGTTGTCGATTCACCAACATATCATCTATGTCTACATATCAGATCAGACAATCAAACACAAGAAATGCCATAATTACACAAGGAGCCATTGGTCCATACGGAGCAGGATGAACAATATCCAGAAATGCAAATAAATGACCTTACATTTCCTGGATCATCACTGTCCTTAGACCCTCTTGTTGGTGCATATGTGCAAATAAAACAAATAACACAAGGGAAGTTCAATAGAGGGGTTTAATCTATTAATTCTAATAAGCCTAATAATATAGTACATAACTTTCTAACGTCAAATTAATGTGAAGTTCTACGTCATAATATCTATCTTACTATAGCTATAGGTTTTCACATGTATGTATATTTTTGTCTCAGTCACATCATATTTTTCAGACAAAAAGTGAAAAAGAGAGAGGACCACTCAGCCCTCAATCCAAAGTATGCAACAGATCAATTATTTTTTTTCTCATTAGATGAAGACAGCATGTTGTAGTTTGAATTGTTCACACCATTTCACAAGACTTTCATTAGGGACAAACAAAAAGCACCATGTATGAATTGAATCAAGTCTAAGTACCCCGGTTTTAATGATATGCCATAATAACCATATGCCTCTCGGTCCTGGCTCTTTAAAACAGCTGATGCGTTTTGAATATGGCAGCACAGACAGGCTTTGTACTAATGTCACAAGTCTCCACTGAGCCACTGGCAAATCAATCAACCATAACCTCAAACTCTGGAGAAGTGCGGGCTATAGGTGAAGAGTTAACTGGCTTATGGTGGCGTTTAGAGCCAGCCAGATTAAGAGGTCATATTTAATGGCATTATAGTAAAACAATGGGATCACCAAGTTAGGGGAAAGTGTCCCCTAGAGCTTTTGTTTATTGTATTGTGAAGCACTCGCAATGGAAAAGGCATTCTTTGACAGTCTATGTAAACGCACATGATTCATAACAGCAGAGAAGTTGGATAGCCAATAGGCAACATGTGCGTAAAGTTTGCGCGTAAAGCTAATATTTCATGTCAGGCACTTTGGAACATCCCGCAAGACAGCTCAACGCGAATCCACTCTCCATAGATGTAAGGGAGCTGTGAAAGATCACAACTTTGGCAGCGTTTTCTAATACAACCGAATGGAAAGTTTGAAAAGACCAGAAGGTTAGGATTGAGAAGGGGGTAACGCGTCGCCTGTAAAAAACTTGCGTGTGTTGCTACATGCTGCGTTGAGATGTAAGACAATACTGGCAAGAATAAAAGAATAAAACTCACCTGGAGGATCCTGCCAAATAAAAGTCAACAGCATATCCGAAGTAGCTCCCCTGAGGTCCGTTATAAACAGATGGCTTCTCCACGTCCAAGTTGAACGCCTCGCAGAAAGGCTGGGTTGCAGTTAATAATAATAATAGTCCCACAAAACAAAGAAGCGAGGATGGGCTGTGCGCGGTTGCCCTGGCAATCTCTGGAGTCTTGACGTAAAACAGTCTCAACCCCATTGTATAGAATAAATTAATCCGCGAAAGTTTGGGGAGAGCCGCTGAGTCGGTCCGATCACAGTGTATTGTTCCCAAAGTTGGTGCGCGTCCCCGGGTGGATGGAAGAGATTGGAAAAGGAGTGGTTTGGCGCGATGCTAAAAGTGCATTGCGTTTACTCCAGGCGCGCACTTTGTCATGTATGCTGATGTCCTCACTCGTCTCTGTCCGCGTCTGTCTGCGCGAACCCCACGCCTTCTCTGCGCACCTCAGCAGGATCCATGGAGCTGGGAGTTCCCACCGCCGTGACAAAAGTTTGGGGGAGGCGGAGTCTGTGATTCCCTTAGAAAATAAAATGAGAGAAAAAAACCGTTGAACTGGGTCTTCGCAGCAGGCGTCTAATGTCAGGCAGACGGCGAGATGTTAACACGTTGGGGGGAAAGGGTGTTGGTTTTGGTGCGTTCTAATCTAGACCGTGGAGGATTTATAAGCCAAGAAACAATGTGGTGTTCTTATTACATCTCAGTTATAAACATTAATAAATCAAAAAAAATTGAAGGAAATGGAAATGCTACTAAATGGGCTTCATTGGAGGATCAGAAAACTCAAGAGTACAATGATGCAACAGTGGAATGTTGGTCCACTCCTCTTCCATGTCTGTTATATGTTAAAATTGGCGGAAACTGGAACACCTAAAAGTGCTCATAACAAACTCGAGATGTGTTTCTGAGAGCCCATGCCGTTATTATTATAGATCCATGGCCCATGCACACTGCTCCTGTGAACCACAGGTGGATCAAATGCAGACAATACTTAAAAGGACCAATTATGAATCCTCTCAACTAATCTTGACTATAAGATCCCACCTGATTTTGTACATAGCAATAATGTTTTGCCTTTATAATAATTATAATGCATTGGTTTCATATAGTGCTTTTTGGACACTCAAAGACGCTACACATGACATTATTCTTTCACCACATACACAGTGATAAACTACTACTGTAGCCACAGCTGCCTTGGGGCACACTGACAGAAGCGAGGCAACCAGTATGTGCCATCGACCCCTTCAACCACCACCAACCATTCAGACACACACCAGACTCATTCTAGGCAATGTGGGTGAAGTGTCTTGCCTAAGGACACAATGCCAGTTTGGCACTTTACAGCCGCTGCACTGTGGCACCTGGTGTTCCCAGAGGTCTCCCATCACAGTACTAACCAGGCCCTGTGCTGTGCAGCTTCATAGGTCTGACAGGATCTGATTTTACAGGAAAGTATGGCCTTTATGGATGAACATTTGACCCTCTTAAAGTCGACTCTCCCACCAAACCCAGTAACACTTAAACCACTTTCCCGGCGAGCATCTCTGTGTGTCACCCATGTGCTGCTGGTCTAATTACAGCATGTTTCAAAACGATGGTGGGAAGTTGTTAGTGCAGTGGTTGAATCAGGACCTTTAATAAAGCTATCTTCGCCGCCCAGAATTAGTGCATGTTGGTTTAGCTGATTCGCTCCTAAGCCTCTGGGATTGAACTGTGAGTCCAAATTTGGCTTTAGGGTGGCAGTAGCAACATGAACTGCAGTCTGAAAGTGGTGATTGTATTTATAACTGAGTGGGGACTGATGGGCGTAATCCAGAGTGTCTGTGGGGATATGGGGGGTGGGGGGTACTCACAGCTGCTGGGTACAGGCCTGGTGTAGAGGAGGTGTATAGGGGGTGTATCCTAATTCTAGTATTTCTAGTGTAGTAAATCAAAGTATTCATCAAAGAGCAAAAGTATTCTTTAAAGTACTGTGTAACTTTAAACCTGTTTGTCCAAATAAAATTGTAAATAATATTGATAATTTAAGTCTAATGGTGGGACATTTCAGGCAAAGCAACAACATGTTTAGGTTTTGAGTTTTTCTTTTTTCAATTTGGTTCTGAGTTTCTGTATACTCTTGTCCTGTCTCGTCATGTTGTGTTTTGTTCTGTTGTGTTTTGTTCTGAAACTGTATACAGTAATCTGCCATCTTCAAAAATCTAAAGATATGTGTGTGTATATATGTATACTTTCCTGCATTTATTATTTTTTATTCTCCCTATAGTAGAAGCAAAGTAAAGTAAATACAAAGGTTGCTCATCCAAGTAAAGTCAAATTAAAAACTGAATCACAAGTCCAGATAAACACATAAAATTACTCTTAATGTGAACTAGACCGAGTAAGTGAGATTTTAGGTCTACCAAACTGAGCTGCAGATGTTGTGTCTCTGGGCGGGGCAGCTTCATTTTGTTTACCCATCGTAATGATCCGGAGAACAAACTTTCCCAGTGGATTTGTTTTTAGAAATGAGAGGTTTGGTCATTCACCGCACATAGATTATTCGTTAATGTTAATTGTCAGACACAGAAGTGATTTACAAGCCTGGATTTTCTATGGTTGTTTGGAAGAGAAGGGAAAAGTTGGCACATGGTCCATGGATGACCTCATGTCTGGTCAGATCAGGGTGTCTGCTGCAGGTTAGTCAAAGATCATCCCAATGTTGACTAAACTTTGCCTTTTTATCTTTCTGTGACCATATCTCTCCACATTATCTGTTTACTGACCTATGTTAACCACAACGCAGTCACACAGGCCTACAGGGAGGTTTTAAGGCTTTATAATTTCACACATGTACATTTTACACATTTCACAAGTACAGCAACCAGGCAGCAAGAAAAATCTGTGGAACTATTAGCCCAAACATAAAGGTGTACACAATTATTTGGGTCACTTAAAACCATGTGTAAAACAGTCCATCTTCACTTGTCTAGATGGTGGTGTGTTAAATCACTCGTACAACTAGATTCCAAAACTGTTTCCCAGGTTTGATTTCTTTGAATATTTACTTCACATATGTGCAAAAACTTACAAAGGCCTTCATACTCTTTTTCTATTTTCTTCATCTGTCTTTTCCATTTTGAGAAGGCCATTAATGCTTTTATCACTTCCAGGCTTAATTATTGTAACTCCCTCATTGCATTGACCCAGCTCAGCCGCTTACAGAGAGAGCAAAACGCAGCAGCCCGTCTTTTAACAGGGACAGAGTGCAGGGACCACATCACTGCTGTTCTGCGATCCCTGCACAGCCTCCTGGTATGTTTTAGAATTAATTTTAAAATTCTTATTATCAATTTTTACAAGTTTTGATAGAATGGCACCTTATTATTTATATGAACTCCTCCAGCCCCACCTTCCCTCCAGAGCACTCTGCAGAACAGCACCTTCTTGTTGTCCCTCGGACCAGGCTGAAGACCAGAGGAGACAGAGCCTTTTTGTGATAGGGCCAAAGTTATGGAACTCGTTACCTTTGCACATTAGAACCGCACAATCACTCGAGCACTTTTGAAGAAGATGACAAAGTCTGGGATCGCGTCTTTAATTCAGACAGAAGACATGTTTTATTGTCGATGGTAGAGACAGCACGAACAACACGAACACAGAATGCAAGTGTATTATACAGAGCGGAGGCATGGAGACCTCCAATCAGCAGCTTCCACGGTGCCATGTAGCTTGGCCTTCAGATAGACAAAACATGAAGTGGAAAAGTACTGGCTTCTGCACATTGATAGAATGATGAGTTTAACCTTAACAAAAGTTGCTTAAAAGTGTTATGAAATCTCACACTTTAAATCCCTGCTTAAGACGCACCTTTTTGCCTTTCCTTTTAATACCAGGTAGAAAGAGACAAGTTTTTTGTTTTTTTGTTTTTTATGTGCGTAACATTGCAGTTTCATCATGCCTGCTGTGTCTGACCTGTGTCGCGACTAGAAACAGGTCAGACACAGGTTAAGTGTGGAACAGTCTACCAGAAAATGACCCAAACAAGTCAATAATGAAATGTGTAAAGAAAATGTAAGATCATAAACATGTATAACTGAGGGATTTTATATTTACTCTTTTCGTACTGTGATTATCTATTTCAATGCCTTGTGTGATTGTTTATCTTATTCTGTTCAGCCCTTTGAGTTGCCTTGTGTATGAATTGTGCCATACAAATAACCTTGCCTTGCCCATTAAATACCTATACATCTCAGGAAAATGCATTAATAAATAATAAACGTCCAATTATTAAAAAGACAAAAACATAATAGCCTTTCAGATTCAAAATTGAGAATGTGGTTCTGACAAGAGCCTGGGCTTCGGTTCTGTGGCCTGTTGTCATAATTCCCTCCAAGCTAAACGGTGGTCTGGTTCTTGGTGATGCCAAAGTAATCAGCTCTGGCTAAGTGAACAGTTTTTTCCATTGCTCTGCCTCCGACCGTGATTTCCGCAACAGCAGAAGGTGTGGTTGAGTTTCCAATGCCTCACGTTTGACATCATAACTCTCTGGTCTCTATGGGAACATATCTGAAGAGCAGCAAAACACTTACGGAGCATTTCTCTGGACGATTCACAGCTGGCCAAACGGTCTAAATATAGAAGTGACATAGTGGCACCTCGTCAAGGCCAGGAACAGTACTGCATGTGCTGCGATTGACTGGGAATGATCCACAAATAGACAAGAGCGGGAGAGAAGCCAGAAGTATTAACCAAGCCGTAAAGAGATACACCACAACAACATTTAAACTAGCAGTAATTCAATGCGGCTAAAAAATACAATGTGAAGAATGCACTGATGAAAAGTGAAAATGTGTTTGGTTAAAATACAGTCGGAATGGATGTTCTGGCACAGCACCAATGATGAGAAAACATGAAATTGTACATAATAGTTTAATTCTTACTTTGAACTTATTTCCCACAGAGAAATAGAATAGAGTAAAAACACATAAAATAATTCATTGACACGCACACACTCAAACACGCACGCACTCTCTCACACACACGAACACACAGTGAAACTCCGAAAATTAAAGATTGTTCAAAAGTCCATTTCATTCTGTGATACAACTTACCTCCCTGTGAAAGGCTGATACCAGCAGATCTCCGATGCTAAGCAGGGCAGAGCCTGGTTAGCGCTGTGATGAGAGAGCTTGGGGAACACCTTGTGCCACAGTGAGGTGGCCAAGGCTGCAAAGTGCCAAACATATGTTGTGTCCTTAGGCAAAAAACTTCTTCCACATTACCTAGTATGAGTCTGGTGTGCATGCGGGAATGATCGGAGGTAGTCGTAGGGGCAGATGGCATATACGGATTGCCTTGCTTCTGTCAGTGTGCCCCAGGACAGCTGTGGCTAGAGGAGAAGGAGTGATGAATACTGTCATGTCTTTGGGTGTCATTAAAAGCTTTTTATGAAACCAATGCATTTTTACCATTATTA